GAGAGGCCCCTGAAGAAAACACAATGGGTGAAAAAATGCTATAATTCATTCATTCTTAAACAAATAAAGCACACCTTTACAAACCATGGAAAAGAAGGAAAACCATTATGGTGACTCATGCCTGTAATTAGGAGGGTGTTGTTTTAGACCAGCCTAAGCTACATACCAAGATCCCCATCTCAGGAAAGGAACTATATTATTAAATATTCTCATTCCTTTCAATACTACCCATAGACTTTGTTTTTTTTTTTTTTTTTTTTTTTTTTTTTTGAGACAGGGTTTCTACGTCTATCCTCGCCTGTCCTAGAACTAGCTCTGTAGACCAGGCTGGCCTCGAACTTACAAAGATCTGCCTGCCTCTGCCTCCCGAGTGCTGAGATTAAAGGTGTACACCACCACTGCCTGGCTAATTGTATGCCACCCATACACTTACGAGCTAACTATCACCTATTGCTGTTAGGACTTCCCTGGTCTCTGGAGTAGTTAGTCTAGTCCCAAGTTTAAGCATCTCAGAAGTTGCAAAATCAAACCAGACCATCAGTTCAGTAATACCAGATGCTATGACCAAGTATCATGAAGTCCCAATGACACTGTGTTTTTGAGAAAGCTGGTCAGACTGACCTAGGACCCAATACTGAATTTGCTCTTATTAGCAAGCTTCCTTGATCAAGTTCTTTAACTGCTGCCTCAGTTTCCCCACCAACAAAACCTGGACGTCTTTTGCAGTTCTAACAGTGCCTGAAGTTAGCACAGATCCCACGGGGCAAGGGCTGGTCACTAATTCTAGTAAGCATTACTGGTCACTAATTCTAGTAAGCGTTACTGGTCACTAATTCTAGTAAGTGTTACTGGTCACTAATTCTAGTAAGTGTTACTGGTCACTAATTCTAGAAAGTGTTACTGTGCATGGACACCTGAACATCGATCTGAGTGACCAACTATACGTCAGCTTGAACAACGTTAAGATAGATAGTTCGCTAGGGATGTTCACAGGGCACACATAACAAGGGGCGCAACACCAGAACAGCCCAGCGGAAGTGATGCATAGAGCAAGGGGGAGGGGATGGGCCCCCAGAGGCTCCACACCTTCTGCGACAGGCCACCCACACACCCAGAATCTTCACCTGGAAGCTCCCCAAACTCATCATTTAGGAGTTTTATGGAGGTTCCATTTCATAGGCAGGGTTAATAAAATCATTAGTCATTTGTGACTAACTAATCAGGCTCTCACCTCATGGGAGAGGTGAGAGAAAGGGTTCAAACACCCCAACCATACAGCTGGTTTCTCTGGGAACCAGACCCAATTCTAAAGCCACCAAAGCACACCATGGTCTGCCTCGTAACAGACCTCAGTGACTTTGAAAGGCTCTCCCTGTGAACAATAAAACATGCTCCTATCACTCTCCCTGAAGACAACCCAAGGGTTTGGCTCTGGTCAGGAACCCAGGACAAAGATCAAATATTCATTTTCTATTATCACACGTGTGCCTAAGAACTTGGACACTTTCTGGCTGGCTTTGGCATAGAACATTTCCCTGAAATCTGGATCGCTCTGATCTGTATTCCAGTGGACCTTCTGTAAGTTTTATCTGATCACCTACTAAAAGTCTTCTTCTTTGTCCTTGACCTTCCCCATCCCCCTACCTGAGGGGAACCCTGCAGGTGTCCAGGTAGGGAAGCCACCAAGGATCAGGGAATCTAGTGCCAGACAGTTCATTGTCAGCACATGTAAGACACATTTGGGGAAAGATTTCCAGGGAACAATCACTTCAATCCAAGTACACAACAGAGCTTAAGGTGTGACCACTTAGAAACACCTTTGCAAGGTACATGTGACCATGAGGGTGGGTTCGACAGTTAGACAGACAGGAATCTAGTGTGGTCTCTGACTGAGATAGCAGAGAGGTCAGCAGGCCATAAAGTACATGTGACATTCCCCACCTCAGGGTGGGTTCCACTGAGTCCTAAAGATAGCAGGCTAGGGAAGGAAGAGTCTGGGATAGTTGTTCTGAGGAATTTGGAAGAGGTCTGCCTTTACAGCAAAAAGTGGGTGAGGTCTGCCTCCATAAATAGCAAAAAGCAAAAAGGTCACCAGGTCCTTAACAATGTCCACTCTCAGCTTTTCTGGGGAGGAAAAAAAAACATTTTTCAGATATTTTATCTTCCCCCTTGAGGAGACACCCTTGCTTCATTAACATTCCAGGTTTTCTTAGTGCTTCCCTGTAAGTCCAAGGGCCTTTGTGCCCCCGACACCTACCCTACTGTTTACAATCACCCTCCCAACTCCATCCTCCATTCTCCAAGAATGTAATTTCCCTAAAGGAAAGGTCTTAAGTCATAGCTGGATCCTCAGACCTCAGCGTTTCTGACACAGTACTCAAAAAAGCAATTGTTGAAAGGCAGAAAAACGGTAACAGAATGACAGCAGCAAATGCCAGGGCTGGAGCTGGGGATGTAGTCGCTGGTGGAATGCTAGGGCCCCTAAGCAGGTCTTCAGCATAAAATTAAAGCAAAAGCCTATATCAAAGCATCAAGAGCACAAGACCATGGATTTCATTTTCAGCACCGTAAAAAACACGGAAGAAAGATGGAGAGGTGAGTGGGTTGTGAGAATGTAATGAGTGAGCACAGAGGAATTAAAAGACACCATGTAGCACACAGTCAAGCTGTGACTTTGGCTAAAGACATTATCGGTGTAACTCACAGGAGGGTGAGGTCAACATGGGCCAGAGCCGTTAACCAACCCCTCTAAGGAGAGGCACAGGTCTTGAATCTCGTCTGGTTAGATAAAGACTTTGCTCTCTCATGGGGACAGGGCAAAAGACAAGTCTCCTCCTCTGTTCTGGCCACCTCTACCCAGCGTGTGCAGTTTTCACACCCTAAGAATTACCTACTCACCAGCCTCTCTCTCTCTGCCCACCCGTTAACCCCTCTCCTTTTTATTTCTACATGCCAGAGTCTAAATGAATTTCGCTAATAAGGGACACTCAATAAAACTGCTGGATTAATTAACTTCACAGACCCATACAAAAGAAGCAAGCTGCTACTCTCCAGTCCAGCCATTCAGACCTAAAGAAATGCTCAAGTATATGTATTAAAAATCAACTACAGGAGCCCGGTGGTGGTGGTGCCTGCCTTTAATCCCAGCATTCGGGAGGCAGAGGCAGGCGGATCTCAGTGAGTTCAAAACTAGCCTGGTCTACAAGAGCTAGTTCCAGGACAGCCTTCAAAGCCACAAAGCCACAGAGAAACCCTGTCTCAAAAAAAAACAAAACAAAAAAACAAACAAACAAACAAAAAAAAAACCTCAAGTACAGGACCAGCTGAATGGTTCTGTGGGTGAAGACACTTGTCACCAAGCCTGATCACCTCCCCCCCCACCATACATACATTAAATAAATAAATAACATATTTTTAAAATTCAAGTACAAACAAGGCTCACTGCCTTTAAGCCTAATGACCTGAGTTCAGTCCCCAGAACACACATAGTGGAAAAAGAACTCGAGCAAGTTGCCCCTGACCTCTATAATAAACACACACACACACACACACACACACACACACACACACACACACACACATGCACACACGCAAACACATTTAAACGATTCAAGTGCAAAGATCATGTCAACTTTGAAATAGGGAAAGAAAGAAAGCAGCCAGCAGGACCACCCACAAGGGAATCACCAATGGACTATGGGGACACCTATGTCACTTTATGAAATTATCTCCAAAATATAGTTACCTGAAAAAAATCGGAGAATATAAAACGTGCTTTCAATTAGGCAAGGCAAAATATTATAAAACAACAAACAAACACACAAACCTTCAAGAATTGTTCATATGCCTGAGACCTACAAGTGTCAGTAATATTTGCGGACAGGGAGACATACGTAAAGAAAAGAACTGGAAAACAGATCTGCTTTTCTTGTTAAATATATCTGTACTGTTTGCATTTTTAAGGAGCTTGCATTAACTAATTGCTTGCATTACTAAAACGAATGCCTTTAGACTACAGGACTTGGATGCAGACCGCACGAGAAACCAAGCGACTACTAATCCACCCCCAGGGATTAGTTCTGAGCAACAAGAGCTTCTACACAGCAACCCCACGCTCATAGCCCAGAAAGGTGCTGGACTCGAAAAGGATGAACGCCAGAGGACCAGAGGCACACTCGATCTAGAAGGCTTTCCTCCCAGACCACCCCCTGAGCTGGGCTCAGTGGGGAACGTGTCCTCAGTCACGAGTCCTGGGGGAGTCGAGGAGGAAAGCGCTTCGGGCAGGTGCGCACACCGCGCGGATCTGGGGAAGGAAACTTACTTTCTGACTAGCCTCTTTGGCCGTGACCTGTGTCTCCGTCCCCGCAAACGCCAACGTCTTCCTGGGATCCATCCCGGAGCCAAAGGTCACCCGGTCAGGGGAGGGAAGAGCGACTTTACCAGCCAGGGAGAGGAGGCGCGAAGATGCGCATCTGCGGTTCCTGGGGACCGCACGGCTCTGACCTGCGAGCCCGGGCTCTGACGGACCCGGTGCAGCGAGGCCGGCGGTGCGCTGGGCAGAAGGTGCAGCCCCGGGTCACAGTCGCAGGACGCCGGCTCCCGCGCAGCCCCCTCTCCAGCCCGCGTCCCGCTCCCGCAGCCGCCGGGGACCCGCCGCCACTTCTCCAAGAGTGGACTCTGTACCGCGGGATCAGCTCGCCGCCCGCCCGGACCTCCCATTGGGTCCCAACCGGCTGCCAGTTCCGCGGCGGGGGCGGGGCGGGACGCCCGCGAGGGGGCTTCCAGAAGGAAGGTTGGGAGGGGGGGCGAGGTCAGGAGAACCCGCTGTCCATCACAGGCCACGCCCCCCGGCTCCCCCACGCCCATTACCACTGTGGTGCGGCCCAAGTGGGCGGGCCCATGTGCGCCCCGCCTGTGGGAAGCGGCTATTGGGCAGCCCGTAGGAAGGCGTGTAGGCAGGATGGGCGTGGCTATAACGCACACTGGAACCAATAGGGTAGAAGACCAGCTAAGGGCTTCCGGGCTGCGAGGTTGGGGGTGGGCAAGATGGCGGCGGACACCGGGAGCTGGCGGCTGTACGCGCTGCTGAGGTGAGGAGCTCGGTGGCCTGACCTCACGGGGTGGAGGTGCTCGGGGAAAGCCCAGCCAGTCTCTGCCGAAGAGCTGTCTACGTCGTGCCTCAGTTTACCGCGGATGTTAACGCATGCCTCGCCGCTGGCCGAGCAGCTGCTTGCTTATCCGTCGTTGCCGCTTCTCTCTCTGCTTCGTAAACCGCCTGGTTAACTCTCTGCCTCTTGACCATCTGTTGACTGACTCTTTCCCGTTTGGTGCTTAAATTGTAAATACATTTTTGAAGATAAACATCGTTTTCTATGTCAAAACTAGGAGATAGAAATAACTAGGAACGCTGACCCCCCGGTTACTACCCCAGTTGTAATAGTTGTGTATTTCAAAAGATGCCCCTGACTTATGAAGGCCTACGGAAGCTCTGTCAACACCTTCGTACTTTGTCAGGTTGACGTTTTAGAGGTAGCAGCGGGGCGGTGGTGGAGCACACCTTTAATCCCAGCACTCGAGTGGCAGAGGCTGGCGGATCTCTAGAGTTCGAGGCTGCATTGTAATGGTGGTTTGATGAGCAATCCACAACTTTAGATTGTAGTTGCCTTTCTTTAAAACCTTTTAATTAAATACGGGTAAATATTGGCTAGGAATTAAATGTTTACCTGGCATGTATAAGGCCCTGAATTCAATCACCACCACTGGGGGGGGGGGTATTAAAACTCATTGGATATTTTATTGTCACACTTATAAGCTACAGAAATCCTTTCTGATACTAAGATAGTAAGCAAAAATGTGAAAGTAAACTTTAATCTGTAGCCTTATTTTTAAATTGACAGCAGACTGATTTTCACCTTTTATGTATTTCAGATTTTTTTATTCACTATTCTTTCCTGGATTGATTATATGTGGAGTTCTGTGTGTATGTTTGGTCATTGTCCTTTGGATAATCAGGACACATCTACAGAGAAAGAAAAAGTCAGTCTCAACCAGCAAAAATGGAAAAGAGCAAACGGTGATTGCATTTTTCCATCCTTACTGCAATGCGGGCGGCGGAGGAGAAAGAGTTCTCTGGTGTGCTTTGAAAGCCCTGCAGAAAAAGTAGGTATGCGTCTTTCCTAGCTAATACTGCTGCTTGCCTCCTAAGGGCAACTGTCTTTTACGTTTGGCACAGTTTTACACAGCTGTCCTCCTACCTTCTCTAGAGGCTAAAACAGGAGGATTATTTGAAGTCGTAAGCCAGCCTGGGCAACATAAGGAGAACCACCTCTGCAAAGGAAAAAAGAAGCTAGCTTTTAAAACATGCTCTTATTTCTCAGATAAGCTACCAGAGGACTCATGTGCAAATCCCATCACCCACCTGGCAGTTTAAAACTGTCTGTACTCTGGTTCTAGGGGATCTGACACCTTTGTACCAACACACATAAAGTAAAGTTTTTTTTAATTTTTTTGAAACTACATAAACAAAACCTGCATGAGACTAGACCATTTAGCATCCCGTCCTAGATGGAGAGGGGCTCCTAAGGCCCTACCCATTCAGTTAATGCTTGCTGGAGGTGAGGCACTCATGGTTCTTTGTGCTGTAGACTAGTAAGTTGCCCTTGTTAAAGTACATAAGTCTCTGCCTGTGCTCACACAGGCCACCCTAGTTAAATGCCCACACACCAGAAAAACACATGAAGGTAGGGAAAAAAAAAAAAAACCAAGATTTGTTGGGACAGGGAAGATGATAAAATATGAGGGCAAGGGATATGATCTTTGTGTGTGTGTGTGTGTGTGTGTGTGTGTGTAGTAACAGTGTAGAAAATAATTTTATTTATTTCTACTTGGTTTTATCAAGACAGGGACTCATTATATAGCTCTGGTTATCCTGGAATGCACTATGTAGAACAGGCTGACCTCAAACCCACAGAGATCCTTTGCCTCCCAAAGGAGGGATTAAAGGCATACACCAATGTGTCCGGCTAAAAATAATTTTGTAAAAGTGGGCAAAAACATAAAAATATCTGGGGTTCACCTGGAAACCTATCCAGGTGAGAACATATTCCCAGATCCCCTTAGAAAAACAACCCCAAATTGTCTTAAATGCAAATAACTTTCTCCTTAGTTGGCATGCTTTTTAACTGAGAAAGATTTGCAATGTTTACAAGAAATGAAATAAGTATATAGTTTGGGCAAGCATTTGTGTATACACATGTGCTCATGCATGTAGAGGCCCAGAGCTGATGCTGTGTTTCATACTCAGTCGCTCTCTGCTTTTTATTGAAGCAGGAACTCTGTCTGAACCTGGACCTCAGAAATCTTGCAAATCTAGCTAGCCACCTTGCCCAGAGAGTCCCGTGTCTCTGCCTTCCAGAGTGCTGGGATTACACACAGCTGCCACTATTTTTTTTTCTTTTTGGTTTTTCAAGACAGGGTTTCTCTGAGCCTTGGAACCTGTCGTTCTGTAGACCAGGCTGACCTTGAACTTACAGAGATCCACCTGCCTTTGCCTCCCGAGTGCTGGGATTAAAGGTGTGAGCTGCCACCACCTGGGCCAATGGCTGCCACTTTTATGTGGGGTCAGGGGTTGTAAACACTGGTCCTCACATTTGTGTGGCATGTACTTTATCCCCTGAGCCATATCCTTGGCCCAAGTTTATAGTTTAATAGTTAAATATTAATGTAGTTTAATATAATCAGGATATAATTATATGTGTGTGTGTGTGTGTATATGTGTTACTTATAATGTGTTTAAGAGAATTGCTACATTATAATTAGTTAAGTAGCTGAGGAAGTCTGTCTGAAAATTGGGGTACCAAAAAAGGGAACAATATGTTATAACTACTTTAATTTTTTTTTATTTTTATTTTGTGCTTGTTATAATCTGCATGTATGAAGTGCTCGATATGCATGCACTGCCCACAGAAGCCAAAAGAGGGCATTGGATCCTTATGAGCTGCCACGGGAGCACTGGGAACCGAACCCAGGTCATCTGTAAGAGCAACAAATACTCTTAACCACAAGACATGTCTCCAGAGCCAGAAGTTAATTTCTTAAAGGAATAATTACCGATCTCCAACCAGTTAAACTTCATTATGTAGAAATACATATTTAGGGGCAGTAAGGGGGGAAAATACTAAGTAATGCTTTAAGATTATGATTCTGTCAAGGCTGGAAGGGTGGCTTAGCAGTTAGGAGTGCTTGCTGCTCTTCCAGAGGACCTAAGGTCTATTCCCAGCATCCAAATTAGATGGTTTATAACTCCCTGTAACTCTAGTCCTAAGGGATCTAACACCTTCTGTCAGTACCACACACACACACTTTGACTTTTTTATTTTCTGTAGTTCTAAAGGTTGAACTCAGGACCTTGTCTATGATGAGCAAGTGCTTTACAACTAAGCTACTTAAAATAAATTTTTTAATATTTCCTACAAGTGAAAATCTCTCTCATTAGTATGTCAGAAATTTCTGTTAGAATTTGCTCCATTTAAAACCCATAGTAGACGAAATAGCAAGTAATTAGACAACATGATATCTTAATCTCATCAAATGGCTGTAGCATAGTGCCTTAGACTGGATAGTTTATAAACAAGAGAAATGCATTACTCGTAATCCCAGAGGTTGGGAAATCTACTATCCAGACCCAAAGGATGTGACTCACTTCGTATGTCGCAGCTGCTTGCTGCATCTTCATGTGCTGGAGTGAACAGACTCCTTTGGTCCTCTTATACGGAACCACCAAGGGTCTGGGTGTGGCTCAGGGGTGAAGTGTGTGGTACACCTGTGCAAGGTTCAGTCTTCAGCAGCAAAAATAAATTTACAAAAGCACAATTCCTGATAATCCCATTGTGAGTCCCTTTCCTTTTGTGCCACTCAACCAGCGACTAGATTTCAACTGCAGAATTTGCAGGTGACAATCAAACTACAGCACATGGTCTCATTTCAAAAATTAAGAGTAAAAACCCGAAGGAAGGGAGAAGTCAATATAAATGCAATAAATGAAAAATTTTTAGTATAAAAATTTTAGTATAAAAATAAGCTTGCTTGTGCCTATAAGGAAATTGTAACGTTTGGCTTAGGTTTAACCTAAATTACATTTTGTTCCAGGTATCCTGAAGCTGTTTATGTTATATATACTGGTGACGTTAATGTCAGTGGTCAACAGATACTGGAAGGTGCTGTCAGAAGATTTAACATCAAGTTAGCTCACCCAGTAGAGTTTGTTTTCTTACGGAAACGCTACCTTGTGGAGGATTCTCGGTATCCCCACTTCACATTGCTAGGCCAAAGCCTTGGATCCGTTCTTCTTGGCTGGGAAGCTCTGATGCAGCGTGTTCCCGATGTTTACATCGATTCAATGGGATATGCGTTCACACTGCCTCTGTTTAAATATGTAGGGGGCTGCCGAGTTGGGAGTTATGTCCACTACCCCACGATCAGCACTGACATGCTCTCTGTAGTGAAGAATCAAAACACTGGATTTAATAATGCAGCTTTCATTAGCAGGAATGCTCTCCTCAGCAAAGCAAAGCTCATCTACTACTATTTGTTTGCTTTTATTTATGGTCTTGTTGGTTCTTGCAGTGATGTAGTCATGGTGAATTCTTCTTGGACACTAAACCATATTCTCTCGCTGTGGAAAGTTGACCATTGCACTAACATTGTTTATCCACCTTGTGATGTGCAGACATTTCTGGACATCCCCTTACATGAGAAAAAGGTGACCTCAGGACATTTGCTGGTTTCCATTGGCCAGTTCAGGCCTGAAAAGAATCACACTTTGCAGATCAAAGCCTTTGCTAAGTTGTTAAAAGAGAAGGCAACTGAGTCACACCCTTCTCTTAAACTTGTCCTTATTGGAGGGTGTCGAAACAAAGATGATGAGCTTCGAGTATGCCAGCTGAGAAAACTATCTGAGAATTTGGGAGTCCAAGAAAATGTGGAATTTAAAATAAACATTTCATTTGATGAATTGAAGAATTACCTGTCTGAAGCAACAATCGGGCTGCATACCATGTGGAATGAGCATTTTGGGATCGGTAAGTTTTTCTTTCCCACAGGTTGTTTTCTACTGCAAGGTATGCATTAAGGTCCTTGTCTTAATTACTTTTCTGCTGTGACAAACACCATGACCAAGGCTAATTATAAAAGAAGCATTGGGAGCTCATGGTTTCAGAAATAGAATCCGTATTAGTAGCACAAAGGCATGAGGGCAGAAAACAGCTAAAAGCTTATATCTTAATCCACAACGTAGAGTCAGAGAGAGAGGCAGAGAATGGTGCCTTTGTAATGTGTACTCTTTCTCACCAGCTGCCTAGGTCCCACCACTGTCTCAGCCCCCAGATAACACACGAGACACTATATTAATTATGAAGCTGTTGGCCATTTGTAATGTTTTCTTGGTGGCTCACTCTGACTTAATTATTAACCCATAACTGCTAATCTGAGTATTTCCACATGGTCTTCTCTCACCAGAGAAAGGGTCCAACCTCTTACTCCTTTGGCATCCGACATGGTGACAGACTGTGCCTCTGTTTCCCAGAATCCTCTTAGACTCCTACTCTCACCTATCTTGCTTCCCTATTGGCCAACAGTGCTTTATTCACCAACCAATAAGACAAACATATATACAGAAGGACTTCCCCCATCATCTCCTCTTTTCTGTCTAAATAAAAATAAAGTTTTTAACATAGTAAAATATATAACAAGGCATATTAAGCAAGAACTATAAATACAATATTTAGTCCATTAACATTTAGCAAGATTTAAAGAAAATATCATCTATCCTATCTTTGTGAGTCTAAAGTCTTATATGTAACTTATCTTTAATCCTAGTTAAGGAAAACTATAACCATAACTATCTGTCTTCAACTCCATTCAAGACCACAGAAAATTAATATATAAACTCTAGAACTGACAGAGACATCTCGCTGCATGGACAGTTACCTGAAGCTCCTCTGTAAGGTTGGAACATCCATCTTTAGCCCATAGGCCACAGTGTATCTGGCAGACTTCTCAGCAAAGTAGGAAATTTTAAACTGTCTGCCTGCGTTGGCAGTTTGTCAATTTTCTGTCCTGCAGAATGTCTGGCAGATTCTTCCATGAAGCAGGAACCCTGAGACTGTCCCATCTCAGTTTTGTTTTATAAGTTTAGCAGTCGCTTTCCTGTGGGTCCTGCATGTACAGTTTATATAGCATACAATCAAACAATTCAGGCAAGAACAATTATTTGCCCAAATGACTAATCTTACCATGTTGAAAGCAAACTCCATAAGGAGTTTCTTCGATGCCCATCTTCCTCTCAGACATAATTGGTATGCCCGGAGTAGTAGTGTCTCACTATCATGAAAAACCCTAAGCCACTAAAATGCCATATATTCTGTAAGACTTTGAAAGGTTTGAAGAATATCTATCCATCTCAAATACATCTCTGTATATCTAAAAAAAAAAACCCTAACTATAGGTTTTAACTGTTATAGGTAACTATCTATAATGTGTACTTAATTATACATTTCGTTTTAAAAGAGCTATATAAACACAGTAAATAAGAGGAGAAATATATATCATAAAATTGACCTTAAATTTGTATCCATAAATGAGATCCATTCCAATACAAAGTATTCATTTCTATACCATTATCCCCTTTTTCCCTTTAGAAAGAGATTGACTGTGATCATTACCTTTTATAAGCAACCCCATTTAAATGAAAACAAAAATTTATAAACAATATTTGGAAATTTAGGTGTTGTTCATTCCAAACTGCTTCCTTCTGGTTGGGGGCACTGTCCATACCATGGGGATCAAGACAAAACACAGAAACCTGGCCAGGTCCTTGTTTTTGTAGTCTGCACGACTGTATCGTCCCAGCTATTTCAAATGCTGGACTGCCTGGGACACTGCTTCAGGGGGAGAGTCTTGCTTCATCAAACCATACTAGTCTGGAGGGAACACACAGCTCCTCCTTTACTGTGGAAACACAAGTAAAAACTTTTCCCAGGTAACCTGTCCTTATATTTAAATTTAGAAGTCAAAGCATTTTTAAAATATATAAGTTGGATTATTAATTTAGCAGCATTGATAATCAAATGTCTTTTAGCAGTTGTTGCTCTTTCCACAGCAATTAAACAAAGACAACATAATAGCTTACAGTATCCAGACTCTGTGTATTTTCCATCTTTACATGACTTTTTTATTACTCTATTTCTTTTACTTTTATTTATTTATTTTTTTCTCTGAAATAGGGTTTCTCTGTGGAAATCTGCCTGCCTCTGCCTCTGGAGTGCTGGGATTAAAGGCTTGTGCCACCACACCTAGTCATTATCCTGTTTCTTTTTCCTCTTCCATGCCTACATATATTTTTAAACACACTATAAACCTTTTAGAGGTTTTACTTTATCTGAATCTGACTTTACTGTAAATCTTTATGTTTTTCTGGCCACGTGTCTTTATCTGCTAAAGATAAAGATGGTGGGCCTAAGTTTACTGCCAGCACTGGCTGTGTAAGTCTGCTTGTCTCTAGCAAAACAGTGCCCACCCGAGAAAATGCTGCTACCAAGAAGCTGTGCTTCTGTCTGTTCTTTTGTTTTTAAAAATTCTTTTTAAGCTTTTGTGAAGTGGAAATTTGTGCCACACGTTGAGGGCACCAGTCTTTTCAAATGTCAGTGCCTGCCCTTCCAAGGCCACAGCTCATAGTCCTGCCCCTCTGACAGACTTCCTCCAAGACCACAGCTTGTAGTCCTTCCCAAACAATTCCACCCACTGGGAACCACATATTCAAATACATGAGCTTGTGGAGAACATTCTCCTTCAAACCACCACAGTTCCTGTGATTGTTCTAGAAGTCCCTACTAAGGCTGTAAGTCACTAATAAATCCTTTAATTCATATACTTAGTCTTTCAGTTCTGTTCCCTTAGAGACCCCTGACTAATACAGAGCGACAGGCAGCTGCAGATGTGTCAAAGATCACGGGGGGGGGGGAATGAGAGTAAGAAGAGCCTCAGTAGAGAGCTGAGCAGGCTCAGGTGAGCAGACAGAAGAGGAGGCTGCAGACATGGTCATGGACTATGCTTTGCAAACATGGAACTGGGGTTTAGTGACACAAAGGAAAGGAGCTGGGCCCCAGGCTGCACACTGGGGAAAGAAAGAGGCCATCAGTGACCTAGGGAAAGATCAGTGGAGTAGAGAACAAGAAGCAAAGGTGAGCCGTGGTAGATGGAGCACTGAGTTACAAGACAGCACATGGAGTCTGTGAATACAGACAGCATCATTGCGAGGTCTGTTTATGAAAGGAAGTGAAATTAGAGTACAACTAGGGAAGGCTGGATAGAGTAATTTATACCTTCACATATGTCATGTGGCAGGCAATAACCAAAACTTACCCAACTCCACCTTGCTGTTGAACACAGGCAACTGTATGTTTCGTGAGCAGCAGCACGCTTTACTTCTCAAAGGTTGTTTACATTTTACTTTTGTTTTCTATCTTTCTGATACGTGTTCATCCTTTATCATCTTGGCAATATTGTGTAGTCTTCTACTTTATGTAGTATGTTCTTTCCCCGCTCCACTGAGACAGGGTCTCACATAACCCAGCCTGGCATGGAACTTGCTGTGTAACTAGGGATGACCTTGAACTATTAATCTTCCCCTGTCTTCCTCCCAGTGGCTAGGAATATAGGTGTGCACCATCATATATTGTGTTCATTGTGGTGCTAGAGTTCAAACCCAGGGTTTTGTGCATGCTAGGCAATCACTACCCACTGAACTATATATCAGCCCCAGTGTACTGACTTTATAGATTATTTCTGTAGACTTCAATCTATTTGTTTTTTAATCAAGAATAAAGCAGCATTATTATGACACTTTGAGGACTAAAAGACTTAAATGCATAGTTCCTGGGGAGGTAACTCACTGAGTATATTGCTCACTGTGCAAGCAATAGGACCTAGGTTAAGTCCCCAGCAACCATGTAAAAGGCATGTTTGACAGCATACCTGTGATCCCACAACTGGTGATAGTGGTGGAGAGTCTAATGCAGTGGTTCTCAGCCTTCCTAATGCTGTGACCCTTTAATACAGTTCCTCATGTTCTGGTGACCCCCAACCATAAGATTATCTTCATTGTTATATCATAACTGTAATTTTGCTACTGTTATCAACAGTAAATATCTATATTTTCCAGTGGTCTTAAGTGATCCTTGTGAAACGGTTGTTCGACCCCCACCCCCAAAAGGGGTTCAATCCACAGGTTGAGAACCGCTGGTCTAGTGAATCTGTAGCTCACTGGCCAGACAATCTCAACAAAACAGTGACCTCTAAAATCAGTGATTGTGTGGACAATCAGTGGAGAGCAATAGAGCAAGCCGAAGTCAACCTCTGGCTTACATGGGTACCTTCACAGGCAAGGATATACACACACACACACAAAAAAAACAACCTTAAAATTGTTTTATTTTGTATCATGTTAAATAAGCAAATTTCTAGACTCACAAATATTTAATCAAATGTTTCTTTCTGAGCCGGGCGTTGGTGGCGCACGCCTTTAATCCCAGCACTCGGGAGGCAGAGGCAGTTGGATCTCTCTGAGTTTGAGGCCGGAGGCAGAGGCAGTTGGATCTCTCTGAGTTTGAGGCCAGCCTGGTCTGCAGAGCTAGTTCCAGGACAGCCTCCAAAACAATACAGAGAAACCCTGCCTCGAAAAACCAAAAAAAAAAAAGTTTCTTTCTGGGTCTCAGGATTTTTTTAAGGTTTGTGTTCATCAAAAACTTAAAGATTTGTGTGTTTTTTGTTGTTGTCTTTGTCAGGAATTGTCGAGTGCATGGCAGCTGGCACAATTATCCTTGCTCACAATTCCGGAGGCCCAAAGCTTGACATTGTCATTCCTCATGAAGGACAAATAACTGGATTTCTGGCTGAGAGTGAAGAAGGCTATGCTAAAACCATGGCTCATATTCTCTCTCTGTCTGCAGAAAAGAGGCTTCAAATCAGAAGGACTGCTCGAGCATCTGTGAGCAGGTTTTCTGACCAGGAGTTTGAAGTGTCATTCCTGTCTTCTGTGGAGAAGTTACTCATGTAATGCCAAATCTGTAACATTCTAGATACTTTCTACAAAGAGGAGCTGGGGATGTGGAGCAGAGGTACAGCCTGTGCTTGTTGTGTACAAGGTCCTGTGTTTCATCTCCAGGATCAAAAGTAAGAGGAAATGCTTCATTTGGAAACACCTCCACATGTAAATATTTTCTGAATGCATTCCCTATTGTAATAAAGGGAACCTGAGCAATATTCTCAGCAATGTGTGTGTGTACACACACACACACATACACACACACGTTAGTATTTAACAAAATGACAAAATTAACTGTATGGAAAAAATAATCTCATGTAGCTTAATGTGCATTAGTATTTTGTCTCAAAATCTGAACAGTGTAAATCTCAGAAAAAATTATCAATCAAATTTTTATATACTCATCCTTTTTTTAAAATCTCTTCCTTTCTGTTTTAATCCTTGAATGGTCCTGCCTGCACCTCCCAGAATGTAAGATTGTAGGAATGCACTAACAAGTGCAGTGGATGATGGAACCTGGGGTGTCATAGAGGCTAGACAAGCCCTCTACCAACTGAGTTACATCCTAAGCCCCACATCCCATTTTTCAAATCACTTTACTTTAGAAGATAACTAGCTAGGCTTGTATTTGTTTTATGATGCTGGAGATAGAATGTAGAGCCTCGAAGTGTGAAGCAAGAGTGGGGACATTTGAATTCCTAGCACTGAGCCAATCTCAGCCAAAGACTTCCCTCCAGAGGAAAGGAAGTGCTGAGAGAAACAGAAGGTAATCGCTGGCACTTTGAACTTTATACTTATATTTTTGGAATAAATTCTGTTTGAGGGGTAAGCTTAGAGTGAGAGATTAAACCTAGAGCCACGCTCATGGCACACAAGTGTTCTAACCAGTGAGTGCTTTCCCCCAACCTGGGAGTCCTGGCAAATAACATGGCTAACCCTTTTAAGTGTACCTAGTAATTTTCTTAAAGGCAAAAGCAGCTTCAAACAGGCATCTCTAATACTACTCCAAAGCATCCATCAAGAGATGGAATGACTGATTTCTTCATGGGTATGTACAGGTAGGTTGAAGTTAAAACACAGGCAACAATGTTTCCCATAACTAGGTTTTGGGTTTTGTTTAGAGCTTACCACAGCTCTTTTCTACAGGTTTCTCATCCTTAACAGCCCCACCCACTTAAAGCTAAAAGGCAGCCTCAATTCATTCAAAAGAATATCAAGCTAAGTTGCTTTTCTAAAACTGACCGAGTCCTATCATGTTGCCCCCACAGTGTGAAGGATCCTGAGTTGGCATTTTGGAAAAAGTGGCAGGTGGTAGTTAGCATACAGGGCTGGACCTTGCCTCACCATTTACAGATACCTGACCTGCTAACACTAAAGCTATGCCTTAATTTTTTTGATTCTTGGGTGTTTCATCTGAAATCAAGCTGTTAATAACTTCAGAATTGTGATACAAGATATGAGGTGTATGAAGCTACTCTAAAGATTAAGCATTGCTTTAGTAAAAGTAACAACCAAAGATACAGTGACTTGATTGGGGAAATGGTGTATGGGGTGTGTGTCGGGGTGGCTTTTAGGGAAGAAGGAAGGAGGTAAATAAAGGAGAGAGGCTGGAAAAATAAAAATGTCTGAAAAAGCCACAAGGAGTCATACTATTAACTACTAAACAATAACACAAAAAAACCCTGTAATACATGTATGCATGTATTAAATAATTAAATAATTTTAATGAAATAAACTTTTCTCATGTGGGCTGATGGTACTTCCTCCAAGAGCTAAAGACCACCTAACAAAAATCATGGTTATGACCTGGTGTTCTGACCCTCAGCCCACTCTGCTATTTTATGGTTAGTCTTTGAGATAAGATTTGGTTAGAGCTCACACAGCCTACCCATCCACACAAAACAAAATAGGACTAAAGATTATAGAAACTGGAATGAAGAAAACAGGATGTGATGTAAGAAAGGATTCTGTTACACTAACTTTTCAAAATTATTTTCTTGTAGCCAAAGCATAAAATACGGTTTGCATGTATATTCTTTCCGTGTTCCTAACAAGGAACTGCAGATATTTATTTTTTTACTAGATTTCAGGTACTGTGTAAAATATCAAAGCTCATCTTTAACTGTTTTGAGTCCACAGCAGTGGGGATTCACATTCCTATTTACAGTGTGATTGCACAACTGTGAAGTATATGTTACATAGTCTTTGTATATTTATAAAATATTGTGATGTACAGCTATTGATACAAAATCCACTTGTATCTAAATCTGATGGGTGATTTCTGATTCAATTAAAATATTTATTTTTCTACTTCCTCTTTCCCCTCAGACTCTTCCTACCCCTGGAATTCATGGTTTCTTTTTCTTTAATTATTATTGCTACATGTATATGCAAATAAATATGTAAATGCAACCTGCTGTGTCCCTTTGGTGTTGTATTTGTTTTTAGGGATGACCACTAATATTGGATAACCAAGTAGGGAGGGGGCTTATCCCTGGGGAGAACTAATTCTCTCTCAGCAATCATTAATTCCTTGTAGCTCTTAATCTAGGGAAGAGGCTCTCAACCTGTAGGTTGAGACTCCTTTGGGGGGGGGCACTTATCAGATATCCTGCATAGTATTTACATTACAATTCATAACAGTAGCAAAGTTAGTTATGACATACCAATGAAATAATTTTATGTTTGGTGGTCACAACACGAGGAACTGTATTAAAGGGTCACAACATTAGGAAGGTTGAGAACCACTGATCTAGGGATTGAGCCATGTAAGATTTCCTCATCCACTTTGACATATCAACCGGTGTGGTCATTGTTCAGATCTTGTTTAGACATATTGTTGAGACTTTGTGGGTGTAGATTGCCAGTCTGTCATATCCAAGAGAATATTGAAACAGACTACCTGGTCCTCTAGTTCTTCAAATCTTTCTGCCCCTCTCTTCTAGAATGTTCACTGAGCCTTATGTGTAAGGGTTGTGTTGTGGATGTATCAGTTGGGACCCGGCACCCCACAGATAGGTGTTCTCTACACTTTGACCAGTTGTAGCTTTCTGCATCTGCTGCAAAGGAGAAGCTTCTATGAGCAGAAGTGAAAACTACACTTACCTGTGGGCATAAAGATAAGCTTTTAAAATGCAGTTAGGAATTATGCTGGTTTATGAAAGTGGCAGTAATACATTCTCCTCCAAAACCCATGACCTCACTATCCAGGTATGACTTATTTCCCTTCTCTTGAGTGAGCCTGACATTCAATTTGGCAGCCATTGGTTTCCACCAGTATATAAGTACCACTATTGCACTTTTGGAGACAGTTTACGCTGGCCATTGTGGCTTATGGACATCACAACTGAGCAGGACTAATGATTGCTCCACTCCCTTGGCAGCTGGCAAAGCACCTTCTAAGTAGTACGAAATCTAGTTCTCAAGGAGGAAGCTTTCCAGTCAGATCACCTTGAATCCTGAAAGCCTTATGCCAAAGTGTATGATGTCTTCAGCAAGAGACTTACCTTCAACTCTGTTAGGTAACAAGGGCAACAGCAATAACCCATGTTTCCAAAGTCTCTTGATCTCCCATGACCAACAACTCAAAAGGTTTCTGGTACCTGCTACTAAGAATTTTGTTAACTGGTCCACGGTCCTTAGGGGAGGGGTGAACATTGTCCCAAAGAAGTCCTCTTAGCAGCCAAACCATCTCTTCAGCCCTTTATAAATACTTTGAGTTAGAAATAATTATATCTCACATACTTTGCTTTGGTGTTGGGAGCCAAACCCAAGTTCTTATGCATGTTAAACACGTACTTTTCCTCTAAGCTATATCAGCAGCCCCTATATACCTTATTTTAATAATTTCCAGAGTATTTTACAGGGTCATCATATAAGCAAAACTATGATAAGTATCAATGTTGTTAATAGTACTTCCAGAATGTGTTTCAGAATATTATGTAAAGTATCCTTGACTCCAAAACTTGCTTTGAATAAATGAGAGTGCATCTGTGTTCATGTCAGTGAATACAACAGAAAATTAGTTTCTGCAATTCACCTCATTTCTCCCACTGTCCTTCCTCTTACCTCTACTCACCCCAAAGTATAAGATCACCCTATCTTTTGGAAAACAACAGCTCCAGTATTCTATTGATATTTGTTCCGTTGGACTCTGTAAATATTACAAGACACCTAGAAGGGAAGTGAAAGGGTTAATACAGTTTTATTACCATTTGAACAAGGACCAATGTAATAACTGCCATACATTGCCAAAACTTTTTTACTTTTTTTAAGGTTTTATTATGTATATAATGTTCTGCCTGCCTGCCAGAAGAGGGCACCAGATCTCATATAAATGGTCGTGAATCACCATGTGGTTGCTGGGAATTGAACTCATGACCTGTGGATCAGTCAGTGCTCTTAACCTCTAAGTCATCTTTCCAGCCCCAAAACTGCTTTTTCTAATAAATTTTATTTTAAAGACAAACACATGGAGATAGGAACAAATAGTTTCAGTTTAATAGAGCTAAGCTAAAAACAGCATTCATCAGGGTTGTCCCTCAAGAGCATAATCAGGGCAAAATGTGTAAACTCAGTAAGACAGTGGATTTTTCTTTTTTCTTTTTTTTTTCTTCTTTTTTCTTTTTTGGTTTTTTGGTTTTTTGAGACAGGGTTTCTCTGTATTGCTTTGGAGGTTGTCCTGAAACTCACTCTGTAGACCACCAAGCTGGCCTCGAACTCATTGAGATTCTCCTGCCTCTGCCTCCCGAGTGCTGGGATTAAAGGCATGTGCCTCCAACATGTGTCCCTGGTTTTTCGAGACAGGGTTTCTCTGTGGCTTTGGAGGCTGTCCTGCAACTCGCTTGGTAATCCAGGCTGGTCTCGAATTTACAGAAATCCGCCTGCCTCTGCCTCCCGAGTGCTGGGATTAAAGGCGTGCGCCACCAACGCCCAGCTCCCTGGATTCTTCTTCAAGGACATGAATTCCTAGCAATGAGAAATACGTTATTCATACTTGCACATTTTGACTGGCATTGATTAGACAGGCCAAACTCTAGCTGGACCTTCACTGGAGTTTCTAGACTTGCAAGTTTATCCTTTCTTTCTCTCCTGACTTTTTGGTATTCTTGTAGGAGCTGGGAGCCTCTTCCCTTTCTTCTGTGGAAGTTGCAAGTTTTTCTAGGGATTCTATTATTTCACTTCTCAGCTCATCTTCAGATTCTTCAAATTTTCTGAAATAATAAGCAGTCAAAATCAGTGTTATGATATAAAAGCAGTAATAGAAAAACTAGTTTCCTCTCTCCCTGTTTCCACTGAGTGTTATGCAAGTTGGATTTTCATCAGATAACAAATTAATATAATATAATATTAACTTGGCTTGGGGAGGGAAGTATGTAACTGAATGTGTGCGCAGACACAGATGCAGGTGCCTGTATACATTCATGCAGAGGCCAGAGAAGGATGTGGGAAGTTCTGCTCCATCACTGCATTATTCCTTCAAGACTGTCAACAATCGTACTGTCTCTGCTCACAGCACAGGACACAAGCACACAAAATCACACCTGTTTTAAGTGGGTACTGGACTCCGAGCTCAGGTCCTCATGCTTATGCCTACCTAGAAAAGAAAAGCTGACGTATAACACGTTTACATTGGGCTGGGGGTGTGCCTCAGTTGGTAGAGTGCCTTCCTAGCCTATGAAGTCTACCCCTTGATACATAGCACTGATTAAAGATGGTGGCACATCCCTATAAACCCAACACACAGGAGGTAAAGAGAGAAGATACATAAGTTCAGGATTACCCTTGACTACACAGCAAGTCTGAAGCCAGTCTTGGATTCCTGAATCCCTGCCTCAAAAAATGAAAACAACCCCCCACACACAAAGATTACACTATGAGCAGTCCCATGTAGTTTGGGTATAGTGTTTGTTGACTATGACAAGAGGTCATGTGAATCAGGCATAGTTGTACAAGCCTTTAATCCCAGCACTCAGGAATGCAGAGGCAGCTTGAGTTTGAGGCTAGACTAGTCTATAGAGCGTGTTTCAGGACAGCGAGGGCTACCTACACAGAGAAACCCTGTATATAAAAACAAACAAAAGAGGCCATGTGGCATGACTGGCTGACCTACACCATGTAGGTTTGTTTAAGTGTACACTATGAGGTAAACACAAAGATGAGATCACCAAACAGTACATTTCCAAGAGCTAGTCCTTTTATTAAGCAATGTGTAGCTATAATTAACCAAAGGAGGCACTGGATGAATACAGAGATATGATGGCTTGCCTTAGTAATTTATGGCAACGATGATCTTAGAAAAAATATTTCCCCATTCCTAGGAGTACGAGACAGCATAGGCCATCATGAAATGGACTGAGAAAGCAATGGGGGACCAAAAAGGTGACAAGGGACAAGAAGCTCACACAGTCTTCCAGAAAGCCCAGCCCTGGAAGAGATTAGAGTATGTTGTTGTTGTTGTTGTTTTAAGTGTGTTTAGATGCTTGAGAGAAAGCAGTACAGATGGGAATCCCTGCTGATACACATTTCAAACTAGTTCTAAACCTGTAATAGAAAGATGGAAAATTACAGGGCTTGGGGAAGTGAGTAGGCCATGAGATAAAACTCTAATGAAGAGGACATTGTTTTTATAAAAGGAGCATGACAGTATTTTTCCATTCCACTCGGTGAGCACAGAATTAGACAGTATCTTTGAACCCAGGACTTAGTCTTCGCCAGACATCAAGTCTGTTAACATCTTGATCTTGAATTCAACAGACTGCAAAACTGTAACACTTTCATCAATTACAAGTAACCTGCTCTAAAGCTTTTTGTCTTAGCAGCCCAAACACTAGGATCTTTTTTTATTTTTTATTAGTATGTGTATGAATGATAAGTGTATGGTAAGCATGCGGAAGTTAGAGGACAAACTTCCAAGAGCCCCCCCACACACACACACACCATTACCATCACCATATTACAATGCTAGCAGGGATGGTGGTATATTCCTATAATCTCAACAATGGAGAGGCTGTGGCCTGAGAATTACAAGCTAAAGATGAGCCTAAGCTGCACACCAAAACCCCATTTCAAAAAACAAAATCAGAAACAAACCTAAGTTCTCATACACACTAGGCAGGCATTCTTCCACAGAGCTGTGTTCCTTGCCCCTAGTCTCTAATTGTTAAAATTAAATAATTTAAAATGTAGTCTTCACAACGTAATTATATATAATGAAGTTCTTCATGGTCTAATTCAGCTATTTCTTGTGTTTTCAGTCTCTTATAGTAGATTCTGAGTGGCTGTATTTGACTTTGTTTTGAAAGGGGGGTCTCATCTGGCTAGATGCTGTTTTTACATTTCAATTATGAAGTCATTTTCATTTCTCCTGAAAAGGGTGTTTGATATCTATTTCTTCTGAGACAGTAGGGGTA